TCCAGGTCGTGCATGAAGAGGGGAGAAGATGAAAAATGAAATATCTCACCCCCCTTTTATAGAAATCTCAAAAAGTGCCCCGAACGGGCCCCGCCGGGTCCGAAAAAGTAAAATTTTAGCAGACGCGCTCAAATGGAAAAACTTTGTGAATGAAAAAGATTCAAAATGATAAAATATGAACAAAGAAAGAAACGGTGTTGAAAACTGAGTCCCGAGCAGAAAGTTATGCTCAAAACAAGTTTGGCGAAAACTAGGGCCAGAAATCCTGAAACTGGAAAACATCGACCAGGAGGAAATTCCAAGAGTATAGAACTCAACGAAATGTGAAAATGAATCCCTTACGAGGATCCAGGCTCAAAACAAGACATTTTGCAATAACTTTCATTAATTGCACAATGGCCCCTCCAAAAAGTGAAAACTGCACTTATGGCCCATAATGAAAATATCTTCCAAAAATATTTTCTTAAAAACCCCTGAAATAAAATATCTTCAAAAGATATTTACGAAAAACACTCCAAGAAAAGAAAATAATTTCAAAGAACTTTGCATCCATGCCCCTTATGGATACCGGGAGCAACCAGAGTACTTTCTTGCAAAAGTAAAGATACGTATTTCGTGGAAACCACTCAAGATGAAGGCACGTGAAGTTAAAAACCAACTCCGAGCATGAGAAGTGAGGTTGTGCCAACAATGTGACAAATGGGGAAAAGACAGAATAGGGAAAAAGACGAAATAGGGAAAAGGACGAAAGACGCATAGTGTCCGAAAAGTGAAAATGCAGAAATGACTCGGTCCTCAAAGGGAGTTGTCAATCCACGGAAAAGAGTCTCAGGAACCAATTCCGAGCACTTGAGATGACACTAAGCGACACGAAATAGAGCTCAGAAAAGAAAATTAAAATAAAAAAAAAATTCATTCGTAAAATTTCAGGAAAAAGGAAAGGAAGGCAAATGACCGGGTCGTTACACATGCTCCTATGTTGTTGCCTTGTGTAAGCATAACCCTATGTTGCTAAAATTGCATGAATGAGGTGATTGATGCTAGAAATGATCTTAGGTAGCTAGGATGCTCATTGAGTCTCACCTAGGATGCTCATTGAGTCTCACCTTTGACATAGACGTTAGGTGGAATGAACCACAATAATTAAATCATGCAAACTTGTAAAACGTAAGTCGATGCATGCTTATTTCCTATGAGTAGCTTTATGTTACTCACCCCTACGATACTGGGGCATATTTCAGGTACAAGAACCAAGGTTGCGATTCTCGTCATGCTTGGATGATTGGTGGACTTGAAGATTTTCATTTCTTGTAAAGGTTGGCTTGAAAAGCCATTTGTAGCCTTATATGTCAAAATATGTATATTTGAATTTAAACATGTAATGTGTACACGAGTACATTTTTTTTAATGTATTTGACATGTATAAGATGAGGCCGGAGGCCAATGACATGTATTTGTATCCTATGTAGTTTTGATTTCATGAAATATTATAAAAATATTGAAAAATGTTAAGTTATTGTCTCACTATGTTTACATCGGGTGTGGGAATTCTATTTTGATTCTTCCGTAGGATCTCATTAATCATGCATGAAGTGTGGCCAAGGGCCAAACGGTAATTTCCAATCATTTGCTAATTTTGGTTTTCAAAATATCCATTTCAAATCCATTTTTGCCTTTTTGGCCGTTTAGGGTCGGATTTTAACTCGACCATTTTTGGGAGCCGCGAACCATTCCCGTGCGCTCAAAATCACTTATTACATTTGTGTGCATATTCGTTTCAGCCTAGAAATGCATTTGGGGTCAAATGCATACTTGGTGCAAAGTTACATTTTCGCCGTTTTGAGCCTAATCTGATCTAAGGGCATTTTGGGGTTTTCACATGAAAAATAAAGTTTTCTTTTGGTATGGTTGGCTAGAAAACATGATTTTGAGGGTCATTTCTTCTTTGTATTTTTTTCAAAAAGGCCCAGAAAGCCCTCAAAATCACATTTCAAACTCAGATTTTTGCTAAGCTTTTAGCAGTTCGAGCTCTCTAAAGGGGGTTCGAGTGCTCTAACTTTGGGCAGAACTCTTTGGGCAATTTTCAAGCGCTCGAAGCCCTTGGTCGAGCGCTTGAGGTACTGTTCACGGGTGTATGTGTGTCTTGGTTCAGCACTGCACCTCTGACTTCAAATCGTCATAACTTCTTCGTTTTAACTCCGAATTGGTCCGTTCTTAAGTCTAAATTGACCGCGTTGAAGTAAGCTTTCCAATGGTACCAATTTAAGATTCATATTATTCTTGTAGCTCAAGATATTCAAGTTTTAGTATGGTAGTGTTTGTTTTCGGTTCGAACAGGGATAGGGTTTCCATTTCTTCGACTTCAGAACTTGATATCTTTGTCGTCTGGACTCCGAATTAGGTGATTCTTGAGTCTAAATTCATTATTTTTTCGTTGTCTTTCCAATGGTGTGCACGGTGGCACCCATTTCATTATGGAATGGCCATTTTACCCCTAGGTTCATTCTTTTCCGTTTTTGAAATGTTGCTTCCGCATTTACTTCCTTTGGGTTTTGTGACCTCGTTGAGGCTCACATTGGTGTCATAGAGGAGTGTTGTATCTCTAGAGACCATTGTTCTATCTTTTGCTTCCGCATTTTGGATCCGTTTTGGGTCATCACAGGACACACTGGGTTGAAAAATCCAGGGTCGTCATAGGGTCGATGGAGGTATGAAGGTTCTTCACGCCCATTTCTCTAGGATCGGGGCCCTCAGGTATGTAGAGGGATACAGAGACGGCTTTATTAACCATTCTCCCCCTGAGGGCGAATCAAGCACCTGTGCGGGTCCAGATGAGTTAGATGCCTCCCTGGACATTGATCCGCTGAACACTTACCAGGATCCACTCCCTGCTCCTGCTGAAAATATATTCATTGAGTGCAATGAGATTGCAGCTTCAGGGGTGGTCTCACCTATTCGTCCTCTGAATGTACCTCCCATCACCACCTTTGTTCCCCCTACATCTGTTGCCACTGATAGAACTCCACCGACTGAGGAGATCATCTATCTTGACTCTCCCTCCAAGGGTAATGGAACAACCAATGATGGAGAGGGAGACAGTGAACCGGTTGGTGATGATGATGCAGCCAGGGATAATGGAATGGTCAATTGATCTGTCTCAGGAGAAGATGCAACAAAATAGTGTTTTGCTACCTTTTGTATTTGTTTTTCTTTCATTCCAATATCACTTTTTGTACTATAAGAACTACTTTATGATGATGAATGAAATGACCAACTTTGTTTTGTAAAGCTTCGATACTCCAACCCGTGCTTGAATGAACTGATAATTCAACTTTTCTATTTTTTTTTTTTTTTTTTTTTCATTTTATGCAATGTTTGGCGTTCGGCTCATAGTGCCATTAGCCACTTATTTGGTTAAGTGCTTGCGTTCGGCTAAAATGCCACTTGCCACTTGACCACCTTTTTTTTCTTTTTTTTTTTTTTTTTTTGTTTTTGCAAGTGTTTGGCGTTCGGCTCGGAGTGCTATTTGCCACTTACTTGGTTGAGTACTTGGCGCTCGGCTAGAATACCACTTGCCACTTTACCCCTTTTTTTTTGCAAGTGTTTGGCGTTCGGTTCAGAGTGTCATTTGCCACTTACTTGGTTGAGTGTATGGCGTTCGGCTAGAATGCCATTTGCCACTTGATCCCTTTTTTTACAAGTGTTTGGTGTTCGGCTCGGAGTGCCATTTGCCACTTACTTGGTTGAGTGCTTGGCGCTCGGCTAGAATGCCACTTGCCACTTGACCCCTTTTTATTTATTTATTTTTTATTTTTGTTGCAAGTGTTTGGCGTTCGGCTCGTAGTGCTATTTGCCACTTACTTGGTTAAATGCTTGGCACTCGGCTAGAATGCCACTTGCCACTTAACCTTTTTCTTTTGCAAGTGTTTGGCGTTCAGCTCGTAGTGCCATTTGTCACTTACTTGGTTAAGTGCTTGGTATTCGGCTAGAATGCCATTTGCCACTTGGCTTTTATTTTGTGCAAGTATTTAACGCTCGACTCATGGTGCCACTTGCCACTTTCTTGGCTAAATTTTTCTTTGCTCAATCAACTTTTTGAAACTGAGTGAAATCTTTTATATAGATCTCAGAGAGTATGTACATTTGTAAAAGCGTAATTGTCAATGAATAATAATGGAATTCAATCTTTACTGGTAGTACCTTTTTAGAGATGTGGCATTCCATGGTTTGTTGACCAATCTCCCAGTCATGGTCTTTAAATTGTATGCCCCCTTTCTTATGGCCTCTGCAACTCTTTATGGACCTTCCTAGGGTGACATCATCTTTTGAACAATTCCCACCTTCTTTTTTAGAACTAAATCGCCGGTCGTAAAGTCTCCATGCTTCACTTTTTTGTTGTGACTATTCATAAGAGTTTGCTGCTATGACGCGAGCCTTATAGCCGCTACATCTTTTTTCTCCTCCAGTAAATCGAGGTTAAATTTCAACATACTATCATTCTGCTTTTGGTTCCATGCTAAACTTCGAACAGTCGTGACTAAGTGTTCGACCGGTATTACCGTCTCAGTACCGTATGCCATAGCGAATGGGCTTTCTCCGGTTGGTAGTCTAGGGGTTGTTCTGTAAGCCCGCAAGACATTCGAAAGCTCATTCAACCATTTCCCCTTTTTGTCTTCAAGCTTCTTCTTAATACAATCAAAGATTGTTCTGTTTGTTATTTCAGCTTGGCTGTTCGCTCGCGGATGGCTAACCGCTGCCAACTTTTGATTGATTCCATATTCTTCCAGCAAGTTCCTCACTTACTTATTGTAGAGATTAGTCCTATTGTCCATAATGATCGATCTCGGCACGCTAAAACGACAAATGATATTACTCTAGATGAAAAGTCTTACTTGGGCCTGCGTCACACTAGGATATGGCTTTGTCACACCCCGAATTTTTTCTAAATAAAATCATCGATTTCATTAAATCAAAATACTTCATAAAAGACACTCAGGATCTCAAAAGAAATAAAATACCCTTTATTGATACAAAATCAATCAAATTTTCTCAAATAAATAAGACAACATCTCAAATTAATTAAATTGATACTAAATCAATTTGCTCAAATAAATACATAAAAATATTTAAATAAAATAAATTAATTCCTCAACACCAATTCTTCCACCTAAGTCCGTAGTTAAAAATCCTCAAGTATCCTCGGTACCTGAAACTATAGGGGGTGAGACAGTAGGAAAAACTACAATAAGAATTTCAAGAAGTTTCATGCAAAATTAATTTCACAAAATATACATATACATATACATTTAAACAAAAATATGTATATGCAATTTTAGCAAAAAAATAATTAATAAAATATTTAAAACAAATCATCCAAGCCATTTAAGGTACGATGATCCCTACTCTGTAAAACAAATCATAGATTATCTTATCATAAAGCCTCAAAGCTCATAGCCTCTACAAACTCTCGGCTTTCTCTCTCCGTGTGTCTTGCCTTTATCTCTCTCTATTCTCTAATTCCTCTATTTTCTTATTCTCTGTATCATCACCAAACTAGTAACATATATAGAATTTCTATCGACATACCCAACTGCTCACCATCACACCTAAAAAAGGAGACAGAAAATATCATTTTACTTTAGCCAAAATATCAACTAGGGGTCCCACACCCAAGCCTTCCTCCTTATAATAACTTGCTCTTCATTACATTGCTTTATATATATGACCAAAAACTGCCCACGTGAATTGCCTGAAACCAAGACTTTTGGCCAAAAATCTATTGCGTGGGCCCCACCCAAAAATCATTTCAATTTCCTTTCTTTCTCTGAATTCAGCTGGCAGCCCATTTGCTTTCATTTCCATTTGATACAAAATACTACATATATATAATTTATACAATGTGACAAAACCAAAATCAAATCCATTATTCACCTAGGACCCGCCACCTACCAAATTTTTTATTTTTTTTTCATTCTTATCTCTCTCCATCAGATTGCATTCTATATCTATATATATATTTAATGCAACAAAAAACCCAAATTAAACTCATTACATAACATGTAAGTGGGACCCGCCAAAATCACCTTATGATTTCCATTTTCCTCTCTCTAAAATCGGCTAGTAGCTTGGTTTTGCACCAATATATATATATATATATATATATATATATATATATGCAACAAACTTTAAATAATCAAAACCCATTTCTCTTCTATTTCCATTTCATTTTCCTTTCTAATTTCGCACCTAGTCTCTCTCTTCAACAGATGCTATATATATAATCAAAATATATGCATACAAAATAATCAAATCCAATCAACTGCAAGTCTCCAATAAAAAAAATAAAAATTCAATCTTCAATTGACAAGTCTCCAATGACACAAAAATAAGAATGAAATAAAAACTCTTAAAAATTTGGGTTGTTACATTCTCCACCACTTAAAAAGAATTTCATCCTGAAATTCAGATCCAACAATTTTCACATACCTGAAAACATCAAAAGTGGTAAAATAAAATTCAAAAATCCTTACCCCAGGCAATGCGAGATACCATGACATGAAAAATGTTATGGTACCTGACAATGCTAATTACCCACCTACACACTCCGTAACCGTTGTGATAGCTAATCAATGCCGTCACCCGCTCACAAAAACAAGGTCAATAATAAAGCCAGGCAATACAACATGCCAAATCACAATTATTGACCACCCCAGTAGCTGTCAGTGAACGACACCTGCCCACACACACCAGGCTACGAGAGGTAGCTATTCAGAACTAAACACTCGCCCACTCACACCCGTCAACAACATCACCAAATTCACACTTCCGGCTGGGTACAGGCTCTGATACCATTCTGTAACGCCCCGAATTTTTTTCTAAATAAAATCCTCGATTTCATTAAATCAAAATACTTCGTAAAAGACACCCAGGATCTCAAAAGAAATAAAATACCCTTTATTGATACAAAATCAATCAAATTTTCTCAAATAAATAAGATAACATCTCAAATTAATTAAATTGATACTAAATCAATATCCTCAAATAAATACATAAAAATCTCTAAATAAAATAAATTAATTCCTCAACACCAACTCTTTCACCTAAGCCCGCAGCTAAAAATTCTCAAGCATCCTCGGTACCTGAAATTGTAGGGGGTGAGACAGTTGAAAAAACCATAGTAAGGATTTCAAAAAATTTCATGTAAAATTAATTTCACAAAATATACATATATATTTAAACAAAAATACGTATATATAATTTTAGCAAAATAACAATCAATAAAATATTTAAAACAAATCATCCAAGTGAGGTATGATGATCCCTACTCTGTAAAACAAATCATAGATTATCTGATCATAAAGCCTCAAAGCTCACAGCCTCTACAAACTCTCTCTTTTCTCTCTCTGTGTGTCTTGCCTTTATCTCTCTCTATTATCTAATTCCTCTATTTTCTTATTCTCTGTATCATCACCAAATTAGTAAGATATATAGGAATTTCTACCAACACACCCAACTGCTCACCATCACACCTAAAAAAGGAGACAGAAAATATCATTTTACTTTAGCCAAAATATCAACTAGGGGTCCCGCACCCAAGCCTTCTTCCTTATGATAACTTACTCTTCATTACATTACTTTATATATATCACCAAAAACTGCCCACGTGAATTGCCTGAAGCCAAGACTTTTGGCCAAAAATCTATTGCGTGGGCCCCACCCAAAAATCATTTCAATTTACTTTCTTTCTCTGAATTCGGCTGGCAGCCCATTTGCTTTCATTTCCATTTGATACAAAATACTATATATATATGTAATGTATATAATGTGACAAAACCAAAATCAAATCCATTATTCACCTAGGACCCGCCACCCATTTTTTTTTTTTCATTCTTATCTCTCTCCATCAGATTGCATTATATATCTATATATATATTTAATGCAACAAAAAACCCAAATTAAACTCATTACGTAACATGTAAGTGGGACTCGCCAAAATCACCTTATGATTTCCATTTTCCTCTTTCTAAACTCGGCTGGTAGCTTGGTTTTGCACCAATATATATATATATATATATATATATATATATATTATTTGCAACAAACTTTAAATAATCAAAACCCATTTCTCTTCTATTTCCATTTCATTTTCCATTCTAATTTCGCACCTAGTCTCTCTCTTTAATAGATGCTATATATATAATCAAAATATATGCATACAAAATAATCAAATCCAATCAACTGTAAGTCTCCAATAAAAAAAATAAAAATTCAATCTTCAATTGACAAGTCTCCAATGACACAAAAATAATAATGAAATAAAAACTCTTAAAAATCCAGGTTGTTATAGGCTTTGGCTCCACCCATTTGGTAAAATAGTCTGTTGCAAGCAGAACATATTTGTTCTGTGATCTCGCGGTTGGAAGAGGGCCAACCATATCCATCCCCCATTGCGCGAAAGGCCATGGTTTGGCCATTACATGCAATCTTCAGGTGGTTAGTGGATCAGTGGTCCAAACCTCTGGCACTTATCGTATCTTTAAAAAAATTCTTTTGCATCTCGCAACATGTTCGGCCAAAAATATCCTTGCATCATCACTTTATGCACCAGAGATCTCTCTCCTGAGTGATTGCCACACACACCCTCGTAGATAGTTGGTAAGATCTGCCTAGCTTCCGTGGGGGTAACACATTTCAAGTATGGACCCGAGAAAGACTTTCTATACAACTGGTTATGTACTATGGCATACTTTGCAGCATTTAGTTTGATTTTCCTTGCCTCATCTCTTTGTTCGGGCAACACCCCATCTCGTATGAAAGTCATTATTGGATCGATCCAACTCGGCTCATATGGTATGACATTTACTTGCCGAGGATCCTAGCTAGACGGCTCCTCAAAGATAGATGGCTGACACAACACATCAATTGGAATCACCCTTGCCAGTATTTCTTTATAACTTGATGCACTGTAGGCTAATCTATCGGCATTTTCATTACGTTCTCTTGGCAATTAGATGAACTCGATTTGATCAAAGCTCTTTGCTTCGTGCATAACGGTAGAGTGATACGCTCCATCGTCCCATCCTTGGTTCCATACTCCCCAGTCACCTGCCGAATGATTAGCTTCGAATCGTTAAAAGCAACTAAACTTTTGACCTTTAGCTCTTTAGCCAGCTTCAACCCTACCAACAATGCTTTGTATTCTGCCTCATTATTGGTTGCATTGAATTCAAGATAGATCACTTGACTCAGCATCCTCTGCTGTCTGCAATTTGATCCCAATTCCTGCCCCCATTTAATTTGAAGAGCCATCAACAAAGAGCTTCCATGAAGAATCCCTAAGATCCTCCTCTATGTCTTCTACATCACATTCCAGCAAGAAATCAGCCACCGCATATCCTTTGATAGCTGTTCTGGGTTCGTACATTATATCAAATGAGCTCAACTCTATGGCCCACTTTGTCATTCTTCCCAATAGATCTGGCTTATGTAGGATCACCCTTATAGGAAAAGTGGTCGGAACGACGATAGGATGGGATTCGAAATAATGGCTGAGTTTTCTCTTTGCATTTACTAATGATAGGATCACTCGTTTGGCCTTTGAATACCTTTGATCTGGCTCGGCCATTATTTTGCTAACATAGAACACTGGGAACTGCTTACCTTCTTCACACTGTACCAGAGCGACACTTGTTGCAATGCTGGACATGCCAAGGTACAAGAAGAGCTTTTCACCTAGTTTTGGGGCAGTCAAGACTGGAGGGTTCTGCATATATTCTTTTAACCTAGTCAGTTCCTGTCATTACTCATCCCCCCAAGATTGCCTTCCGTGGCTTCTTATTGTATTAAAGAATGGTTTGTAGTGATCTGACAGCTTAGAAATGAATCGACTTAGTGTTGCTATTTGTCTGGTGAGAGCTTGTACCTCTTTAACCGTGCTTGGTTCTGCATTCTTGATTAGAGCTTCCGCTTGGGCTGGACTAACTTCAATCCCTCTGTTGTTGATCACATGCCCCAGAAATTGCCCAGAACCTACACTGAACTAGCATTTGGTTGGATTCAGCTTCATACCATACTTTCTCAATACCTCGAACACATCTTGTAAGTGTTACAAATGATGGTCTTTCTTTCTACTCTTTACCACCATGTCATTAATGCATGCTTCCATAATTTCACCCATTTGACTTTTGAAAATCTTGCTAACCAGCCTTTGGTAGGTGGCCCCAACATTTTTCAATCAAAACGGCATGACCTTGTAGCAATGGATCCCTCACTCAATGATAAAAGAAGTTTTTTCTTCATTGTTCGGATCCATAGGAATTTTATTTTAGCCTGAGTAAGCATCCAGAAAGGTTAGCCGTTTATATCTAGTAGTGGCATCCACCATTTGATCAATCTTTGGTAATGGAAAACTATCCTTCGGACAAGCTTTATTCAGGTTGGTAAAGCTAATGCAAACTCTCCATTTCCTATTCTTCTTTTGCACTACAACCACATTCGAGAGCCAGGACAGGTATTGAACTTCTCTAATGATCCCCGCTTCCAGCAACCTGTCAACTTCATCAACTACTATTTGGTTACACTCCGGGGTGAACCTTCTTAGCTTTTATCTTACAGGCTTGATGCTCGGATCCATATTGAGGGAATGACAAGATACTGAGGGATCAATCCCTGGCATGTCTGAATGGCTCCAGGCAAAAACATCCGTGTTCTGAAACAGAAAATCAACTAATTGGCGTTCCTCCTCTTTTGCAAGTCCTAACCCTACTCTTATAGTTCTGTCTGGCCTGAAAGGATCAACCTGCAGCTCAACGAGGGTGTAATACCCTTAGTTTTCAAAAGGATAAAAATGGGAATTTCATTTTGATTTGTATTGCAGTTTTATTTAATTAAGTGACTTGTGTGCTTATTTGACTTAGTTGACTAATTATGTGTATTGTACTTATTTAAATTAATTGGTTAATTGTGATTATTTATTTATTTTATTTAATTGGTTAATTGTAATTAATTATTGGTTTTAGTTAATTGTTTAATTGTGATTAAATTTATTTATTGGATGTATTGGTTTAAATGACGTGTATTAGAGTATGATTTGCTATTAATCATACTAAGGTTTTAGTTTATGTAATTGTGGTCGCCGATTTGTATTTTTATTTAGGGTTTAGAATTAGGGTTTCGTGGAAGCCTATATATATATACTGTATAATCCAACTTAGGGCTTAGCCGTATATATATATATATATATATATATATATATGCTTGGTTGTGTCTGCAAGGGTTTTAGAACCTTTTCCCCGTAACTGGAAGTAGAGAGAAAACATAAAGGGTTTGAGGGGAAAACCCAGAGGGATACTGGGAGAGCCAATTACACTTTCAGCTATGGACTGAAGGTGTACCACGGAGGAAGGAAGAGGTTGATTATGAGATGGAACTGGAGCAGTAGGAGGGTTGCCGGTAGTCGTCAGTTTGTCGGAGAACTTAGAGACGGCATTGGAAGGTTTCAAACTGAAACTTAAAGGCAAGTTTCATTCTATCTCTTTCTTGTAAACTTGTGTTCTGTGCATTCTAAATAGTCTCCAGGAACTTAATTAACTTTTAAAATAGGCTTGTATGCATATTAGGTTAGGTTGTAATATGTGTTATGCTTTTAAAACTGAAACTGTGTTTTCTTGCATAAACTGCTTTGATTCGGTTTTAATTTTTGTCAAGCAATGCTAGATGGAAATTTAAGGAGTTTCTAGGACTGTTGGGACTTATATTGAACCTTAAGAACTTTAAGAAAATTTGGAACAGAGGATTGAACTTCACCGGAAGCGAAGAAGACAAATGGAAGAAGCATAAACTGTTCCGATCATAGTTTAAGCTTTTGTCAAGTAATTCATACTGGAATTGGAGAAGTTTCTAGGATTATTAGGACTTAGTTTGAACCTTAAAAAGTGGGACAGAGGACTGAAACTTTGTCGGAAGCGAAGAAGGCAAACGGAGGAAGCGGAGAAGGAGAAACGGAGGTTGGGTGAGTGGAGGCGGCTCCACCCTTCAATGGAGGTGGCTCCATTGAAGTAGAGCTGGCTCCATAAGGTGCTGAGGTGTCTCTAATGTGGGTGGAGCTGGCTCAACCTGAAATTGGAGGCGGCCCCTCTTTTGTAATTGCCCAGAATTTGTTTTCGGGTAATTTTCTAAGTCTAGGGGCTTAAATAGAATTTTGGGAAAATGTTGTGAGGTTTTAAATGTCTAAAACTAACTTGTTAAAGCCTTAAAATAGTTGGTTTATGCTAGGGTGCTAATCCTAAGGGGCATCATGAAACATAAACAAATAATAGGCATATTGTCAAGGAAGGAAGAATGAAGGTATAGATCGCTAGTTTGTTTTGGTAACTTAAACCGACTGGTGTTGAATTATTTCTGGGATATTATATAAATGATATATATAATTTAATGAAGGCCAAAAAGGTTGGTTTAGGATGTGGTTATAGACATCATGAACTTTGGGTACTAAATTGCGTGCTGTAAGGGTTGAGGAAGTTTCCCTCGCGGGTTGTGTTTTAACCAGTTTAAATGGATTAGTATAAATGTAATGACCCAGTCATTTTCTTCCTTTCTTTTTTCCTCAGAATTTTACGGATGAATTTTTTTCGTTGAAATTTCTTTTCTGAGTTCAGTTTCTCGTCGCTTAGTGTCGTCTCGAGTGCTCGGAAATGGTTTCTGAGACTCTTTCCTTTGAATTGACAACTTCTTTTGAGGACCGAGTCATTTTCACATTTTTCGTTTTTCGATACTATTCACTTTTCATCCTTTTCCCTGTTTTGTCCTTTTCCCTATTTTGTCTTTTCCCCGTTTGTCACTTGGTTGGCATAACCTCACACCTTGTGTTCGGAGTTGGTTTTTGACTTTACGTGCCTTCATCTTCA